GCTGGGAACGTAACTGCAACCTAACACCTTTAAGCAGTCACGTACGCCAACGGTGACCGACTCTTCATTAATGATAAGCTTAGTTTTAAGTCTTCTGTCTCTAATTAGAGCTGGACGGGTGCAGCTAAAGCTCACCAACATATATTAATTTATATTAGTAAAGTTAATTGAATAAAAGATATTATTTAATTTATATTAATAAAGTGAGTTTAATAAAATAATACCCACGAACTCATTACTTATATACTTAACTCAATATCAATCGCTATATGTTTTGGGTGATACAAACAAACCGTTAAACTGTTGGATGAACTATACTGAATTTGTTTCGAGAGTATAAAAAGTACAATTTTAAATAAATTAACTAAATAGTTTCAGTCACATAAAGACACTTAACACAGCTACTTGCAATTGTGTGCGAATTCACTACTGTAAATATTTGAGATAACTCAAGTTACAGTTTATAAAATATTAAATTTAGCAACAAACAAGTGGTCATTAAGATTTAAAGAGCCGATAAAAAGTAATAAGAAACTTCTCTATCTGAACATAAAACACTGAGCTCAAGCTTCTTACTCGATTTCCTATGATTTTGCCACAGTGTTTCCAAATCTGTAGTCAGTTTTTCTCTAGCACCTCTGATTTTCGAAATATGAACACATTATATTTTTAGCCAAACATTCTACAATTTTAGAAATATAAAATAAATTTCTCTTATTTAACATGAAAAAACGTTCTTTTATGTGCTTTTTCGCATGAATAAAAACATGAGTTTTGTTTTGAATGCTCCAGCAGTAATAAGCCATCATATTTGCATTCCAACGACCCTGGTACCACTCTTCCATAGTGCGAATATCCTGATGAAACCGTTCTCTCTTTTCTTCGCTTAATCTGGAGACTTTTTATTTGCCAAGAAATTTTGCATTTTTGCATCAAATGTTTTTCATTTGTACGGTAAACTGATACTAGTGTTATGAGATTTCTTTCTTTAAGTCGTGAAGCAAGGAGTTCTAATCCTTTCTTTGATATACCAAGATATCTATCAACTCATTTAGGTAAGTTTGGTTGAATGGTCGAGGTTCATTGTCTAAAAGAGCTTGTGGTGTAAAATTTAATATAAAGTCACCACAAACAGCACAAAAACTATTCGGATAATTTAAACAAGTTCTCTTTAATGTAGACTTAGCGGTTTATTCATGAAGTTTAGTAATTTCTTGCCCAAAACTTACTTCAAGTAAGCCGAGTTATTTCAAGAAGTACCTGTATCACTAACCTGAGTTTAGATGAGATGAAAATTTCAGTGTAGTGTTGGAAGCGATGGAAAAGGCCACATTTTAACTTGCATAATTTCAGCAATCAGTTTCAAGGTAATACATTAGTTTGATTCGACAGCCTGAGTTTTACTAATATTATATGTCAGATCCAAGGAGAAAATTGACAACAACCTTCAAGATATAACTTTATATATAAGAGCACATTTATACCCCAATGCATCGCTTTAAACCTAGGGCCTTACAAAAAATTAAAAACAATTGAGTTTCTCAAGGAGTGGTTACATTTGTATAAATAATGTATTGTATGTATTGCGTATCTAACAGTTTTCAATATATTTTAAATCTCTACACAATTTATGCCCCAGTTACTGACTTTACACATCTTTCTAATAATTCATTGCTGACATTAACAAGAAAGCTTTATTTGCCAGTTTTAAACACACAAATAGTTTTATCCTAATGCATTTATGAAGTTAATGAAAGCAGTCCGGTACTTTCACCCTCATCTACAGTGAGCCGAAGTATAAAAGTTAAACAACAATGTACTCGTAATACTCCAATGCAATCGTTGTTGGTAGCTGTTATGAATATTGTTGCGACCGGCACAATTGAATTATTCATGTGAAATAATTCCATATTATTGATGCAACAAATGTGCACAGTAACGTTCAATTTAACGTAACTTACATGCTGCAATCGGAAGCTTAGTCATTAATAGCACAAACCTTGCGACTTCTCGGTATTTACGTAGAGATGCAACTCAGCCCTCACGGCTTAATACTATTGTCTTCATAAGCATATAGTCGTTTGATGCAACAGTATTGCCGTGCCGCATGTCCACAACGGTCGACCGAAAGCAACATACATATGCACACATGCCATTCGTAGCAGCCACCACTCCACCTGATAACCTTCGTCAATCTGTATCTAAGTCCGCTTTCTCGCTATCGAAACGGCCTGCAGTGATTTCTATGCAAAAAGTAAACGAGCAGCTCACGAACCAAAAAGGACAACGAGTTGTTTGTATATACCCAAACTTACATACAAAAGTATGCATAAGGAGAACGGTAGGAATATAGTACATGTATTGCTGAGCAGATTCTCGATAACATTTGCACATTGCATCCTCATATGATGGTATGTATGAGTGGATATTCCGGGACAGCAGACGTTAAATATGCATATTATTCCGGCATCTGTTTTAAAGTGCAAGTGTGTTGGGTTTCAGGCGTTTTTTCAGCGTCAATTCAATCTAGCTTTTCTTTTTCCTAGTTGTTGTGAAGATAGCAACTGAAAAGAATACGAAAAACATTTTATGACTTCGACGCGGGTTATCAAAAATCCTGACGACTTGAATTGCTATCATTAAGGCAAATGTGCAGAGATTTGATTTCACCAAAATCGAAACGTATTGCCGTTTCTATCCCTACTCGTTTCTTTTTTGAGATTGTGCAGACTTAAACGTAAAAATTATGAAAAAAAAATATTTAATGTAATTCGTAGGCAATTCAATGAAGTAAAAGTCCCGAGTAGTAATTCGCAATATTGCCATATCATTATTGTTATTTCTAAAACATGTAAAATATAGGCAGCTTGAATTAAAAAAAAATAAACTAAAACTGAGTTTGTGGTCGCTAAAACTATTGGTCAGATACGTACCTGTCACTTTCTTTATTTCCAAAAATTCATCTAGCCATAGACTCTAAGGTCTGAATATAGTTTCGTGCTTGCCACTGCACTTCTATAGGTTTGCATCTGATGAAAAATTTCGAAACACATATTTTTCTGATAAAAGTGTAATACTCATGGTTTTGACGAACATTTACATAATAAAGAACTATGGCAAGGTAACGTCCTCAAACACACTTCCATCGAAAGTTCTTTAGACTTTCGTCATTAATTCTTTAACTCATATATAATATTTGGGATATCTCACATACTGATACTATAGGTATATAACCGGGGGCTAGGAAAATGTGAAAACGACTTTCATAATTATACCCTGAACAAGGTTTTCTTAATTTGCCACGAACTTTGTAACACCCACAAGGAAACGTCGAAGACCCTATTAAATACATATATATATATATAGGATCAGCATGATCAGCTGAATCGATTTAGCCATGTCCGTCTGTCTCTCTGTCTAGTCGAACTAGTCCGGCAATTTTTAAGATATCGATCTGAAATTTTTCCGACGCTCTTCCCAAGAAGCTGCTTATTTGTCGGAACCGCCGGTATCGGACCACTATAGCATATAGCTGCTATACAAACTGAACGATCGGAATTTGTATTTGACGAGATATCTTCACGAAATTTGTATGGATTATTGTCCAATCTCCGAAGAAATTGTTGTGAACGAGCCATTATAGCATATATAATATATACATATTTATATCGCTGCCACTACAACTGGCTGATCAAAATCAAGTTCTTTAAAAAGCCTTTTGTATTTGTAAAGGGTAACATAGCTTTGGTGCAACCGAAGTTAACGCTTTTTCTTGTTTTTAAACTGTTTTAGCGCAATAAAAAGTGCTATGAGCATCGGCACTTGAAGAGTTGAGTTGTTTTTAAAATTTCTTAGCAACATTTTTAATTGTGGTATGTTAAAATTATTTCAGACGTTATCGCAAAGTGACACCATTGAATTACGTATTTTAAACAATATTATTTAGTATTCTATGTATATTTAATATATACTAGTGGACCCCGTCCACACGTTGCTGTGGCTAAGGTATACATTAATTACATACTATTAAATACAGTAAAATTGTCTGATTTGCTCTTATATATCTTTGACTTTCAGTATTTCGAGTTCTGCGGTCTAAGTTTGTACGTCTGCTTGGTGGAATTTTTAAAAACGAAAATCCAACTGAAAATAAAAAATGACTCCCTTATATTTTCTGTTTAACCATGTATACAAAATTTTAATATTGTGTAGTCATCAAAAGTTACTAAAAATCGATATTATGCTGTGAACTTACCGTGATTAACACTTTTTAGCAAACAACAAACTTCTTAGTCTTTAAAACAAAACAAAATTTATCAAACCCTTAATAAAATTATTGTTAGCGCTATGTTAGGTCATGTGTGTCAGATTACCACATATTACTAAATAGGTTATGCGAACTTTGTATACTGCGTTCTGAAATCTAACTCATAGTATACATATTTTATTATTATTAAATACTTTTATTAAAATAAAATCATTACTGGTATTATTAATATTACCGCCAAAGTCGGTACATTTAATTGTGGCGAGTAATTTTCAAAAATTAGTAAATTAGTGCGATAGAATTTAATTAAGTAATCACATTTCCGAACAAACGGTGCTCTTTCAATATAGTCTATGGCTGTGAATGACGATGACATTCGTTACGCTCGTTTTTTAAAATATGCAAAATTAAATGTATTTTTTCAATCTTTCTGAGACATTTTCTTAATATTTTTTTTCCGTAAGAACCTTCTACAGAGTATTAGGAAACTACAAAAAAAAAACAAATCGGTCTAGCCGTTCTCAAGTTATGGCGTGACAACGGGAAACGGGTTTCATTTTTATATATATAGATAAGGTAGTCCAATGAAGTTCAATGAATTTTTTTTATCATACCTTACCTGTTATGTTTTTTTGGTCTGTTTATGATGTTTCGCCATTATTTATTGTATTTAAAATTTATTTTCGTGCTATTATTATGTATAAATACTTTAAGAAAATTTCATCTTTTTCAGAGGTCCATCGAAGATCACACATCATCAGAACGGAATTTTGTCATTGCTCTGAGGTAAGTTTTATAACTACTTGTATATTACCTTTCTTATAGTGTATAGAAACCAATAAGAATTAGAATAAGAGCTTAAGTCCATATATGAATATATACACTGACACCACTCTCTCGAAGTTAAAACTTCCTATGAGTTGACAAAAACAATGTGCGCAGGCGATTCATGTATGAACAAGAAAAAACGTTAACTTCGGTTGCACCGAAGCTATAATACCCTTCACAGGTACAAAGGTTCCTTACAAAAACTTGTATCAGATCTAATTTCGTAAATCGGCAATACAAAATAAAATTTTTTTCCAAGCAGGCACTGTACTCCGATCGTTCAGTTTATATGATAGCTGTATGACATAGCGATCCGATCTATACAATTTCTTCGGCGATTAGATTATTGCCTTAAATAATAATCCATGCCAAATTTCGTAAAGATTCCCCGTCAAATGAAAGAGTTTTCCATACAAGCACTTCATTCCGATTGTTCAGTTTGTGTGGCAGCTATATGCTATAGTCACTCGATCTAAAGAATTTCTTCGGAGATTGGATTAATGTCTTAAATAATGATACGTGCCAAATTTCGTGAAGATACCTTGTCAAATGAAAGAGTTTTCCATACAAACACTTGATTCCGATTGTTCAGTTTGTATGGCAGATATATGCTATAGTGGTGCGATATCGGTCGTTCTGACAAATGAGCAGCTTCTTTGTGAGAAAAGGACAGGTGCAAAATTTCAGATCGATAGCTTCCTGAGGAACTAGTTGTATATATACAGACAGATGGACAGATGGACAGACGGACAGACAGACAGACAGACAGACAGACATGGCTAAATCCACTCAGCTCATCATGCTGATCATTTATATATATATTTTATAGGGTCTCCGACGTTTCCTTCTGGGTGTTACAAACTTCGTGGCAAACTTAATTTACCCTGTTCAGGGTATAAAAATAAGCATGAAGTCTGCGATAAGAAGAGTCTAATCTAATAAAATGAAATGTTACAAATACGTACGATATTTCGTAATAAACAAATTATTTACAACAATAGTAGGGCTCAATGCAATATGTGCTATGTACATCCTTTACATCATATTGTGACTGATGTCATTTAAGAAAGAGAGGATCTATAAAACTTTTAATAGCCTCCAATAGTAGAATGAAACTAGCTTTCAGAATATTTGTTAATATATAAGAAAGTGTCTCATGTATGTACTGGATGCTCTGCTTGCAGAAAAACATATATATTTTTTTGAATTTGTATCACCGATGGTGGATACTCACACAATGCAGCATAAAACCAGAAAACAGCGTCTATAACCGTATTTTCAAAGTTCAACAGATATTTTGTTTTTTACTTCATTCCCTCTGGGATGTGAGATACCTACATTGAAAATTTAAACACAAATGCGTGCTCGTTTCTTATTATGTCAAGTAAAAACATTTGTCCGATTTAAGTCAAATATGCGCCGTTTTGTTCGTAAACTTGTTGCCAACGAGATGTCAACTTCATTATACACCTCTCGTAGAAGACTGCGTCCGTATTGACGCTAACTTCTCACCAGGAAAAGATGGTAATCACTTGGTGCCAGGTCCGGACTATAAGGTGGGTGCATTAGGACCTCCCTTCCGAGCTCCCGGAGCTTCTGGCGCGTCACTAAAGACGTGTGTGGCCTGGCGTTGTCCTGATGGAACACAATTCGGCCTCTGTTGATCAAAGATGGCCTCTTCTGGAAGAGTGCTGCCTTCAAGCGGTCCAGTTGTAGGCAGTAGAGGGCCGAATTGAGCGTTTGGCTTGGTTTGGTTAGATGATTCATTGCCAATCCCACCAAACACACAGCAAAACCTTCCTGGCCGTCAATTCGGTCTTGGCCACTATCTGGGCCGCTTCCCCGAGCTTTGAACATGACCGTTTGCGCTCGATGTTGTCGTAAGTGACCCATTTTTCATCGCCAGTCACAATCCGCTTCAGAAACGGGTCGATTTTGTTGCGATTCAGCAGGGATTCGCAGATGGAAATTCAGTCCATCATCTCTTTTTGCGTTAGTTCGTGTGGCACCCAAACATCGAGCTTCTTTTTAATCTAAAGTTATGCAAATGGTTCCAAACGGTTTTCTGGCTTATCTTTAGTTCCTCAGCAATTAAATAAGTGCTCACATGACGGTCTGTTTCCACTATTTCCATGATTTTATCGCAATTTTCGACGACAGGCCTTCCGACGCGTGGTGCATCTTTGACATCGAAATTACCGAAACGGAAGCTTACAAACCACTTTTGTGCTACACGTTCGTTTACAGTATCGGGCCCATAAACTAAATTAATTTTTTCAGCCGCTTTGGCTGCTTTTTCGCCATGATCGAAGAAAAATTGTAAAATATAGCGAATTTTCTCAAGTCAATGAATCGAAAAACTGTCAAAGACAAATTTTTAGCGCGAATAAACCGTATAGTATGACATGATGCGACACGTAACACTAGTACTATGGACAATAACGCCATCTCTTAGATAAAAACCGAGCGAAGTTTTTACTTTACCTAATATATATTTAACGAGATGGCACTAGGGCTTACTCGCTAAATATTTATTTACAATAATAGTTATATACATATATACCGATATATGTGTATATATAGTATATAACTACTCATGTTCCATGGGAAAAAGATGTTACATCCTATCGTAGTTAGTATTTATTTGGTATTAATAATGTTTTCGCTGCAAAATTTTCCCAGAATACCCCGAGGTTGTTGGCATTCAAGGAAAGTCTTAAACAAGGTAAGAGAGCCAAATGCCACGTTATCACCATCGCCATCATCAGTTGCGAAAACGTTGAAATTTTATTGAAAACGTTACACGATTGAGTAAACAAACAGTGATGTCGGTGACGACAGCATGTCGCCTAGAAGCACTCACATTCCGTTGCAAAGGCTGCCATTTCCCTTGAGCAACAGTCTCTAATGGCGACCACAGGCAAATCATCTATAGACCACACACATACAGTCGTCATGTGACACACGCCTGCAATTCGCAGAGATTACAGTGCAAGCCACCTCGAAAACCATCAACGTCGACTCTTTTGATGACTGGTCTAGCGCTAGGGCAGCCACAATGTCGTGAGTTCTCCGCAGACGATTGACTTGTCTGGTGGCCATTAAACTTGGCAACAACTGGTGATGTCCTAACATGTGCTAGTGCGCGTGTGGCTAGAATATGTGAGTCCACAGTTGTGTGTCAGTCGCTTTGTAGAAAAGTGTGTTTGTTCAGACGGAAAGTTTGCTGGGCTGGGTAGTAGAGCTCTAGTAGTTTTCATTGGTTTGTTTACCTGAATGCCTGAAAGGTAATAGAGAGAACACATGGCTTTCATCATAAAATTTTGCTGCAATCGTTGACCTCTGCTTCCGCTTCGACAGCACTGCAGTCGGAGATATTGACGCGTAGCTACTTTTTTATTTTAATTCAGCGGTTGAGATTAGGAAGAAGATGCGTGGTATGGGCATTTCAGAAAGTCTACGTAAACGCATAGATGCAGTGCAAACAAACAGTACACATGGGGTTAGTGTACTTTGAGGAATGTTTAAAGCGCCTCAAACTTGTTTACTCACTAGCGACAAGTGCATGTACCTACATGTACGAGTTTTCAAATTAAAATGGCAAGTTCAGTTACATAACAGATCTTATAAAAATTTGAAATACAGTTTTATATAAAAATTAAGGTTAACATGAAAAGAAGAGGAATTCGCGAATATCTTTCTTGTGCTTAAACGGGAAGTTGAGGCCTAAGTGCGGTCGAATTCTCGGGCTCACCGCCCGATAGCGTGACTATCGCAAAAGAAATTAATGATTATGTAGAAGAAACTCGTAGACAATTATTTTCACCCGAATTGAACTCGCAGTTTAGTTTGGAATTGAAGATCCAACCGATCTTAAAACATGAAAAAAGAACAATCTCTCTGGTGATTCGATTTTTGTTTTGGTGAAGGAATCGTGCAGTACAATGAAAGAGCACTTGGATGTTGCATCGATAATTTTTCTTTTTCGATGGCGGCCGTCAAGAACTGGTTAAAGGAGTTTCAACATCGTCGTTTCACATGCCAAATTTTAGAAAAAAGGTCCTACATGGTTAAGTCAAATGGGCTTTTCCATCATGACTACACCCAAATTGGTTACTTCAGCCATCTTATTCTCTAGGTTTGGGCCTGACTAATTTTCTTTTGTTTCCAGAATTAGAAAAAGTGGTTAGACTGGCCGGTCAGAAATTTTAGTCAAATGAGAAGGATACTTTGAAGACCTCCAAGTGTATCGAGAGATACACGGAGGTGAGACGGGCCAAGTATATCGAGCTAGTTGGAAGCCATATTGAAAAATAAATCGACATATTTTCATTGGTATTATAAATAATTATTTAATATTTGACCCCCTTGGGACGTACGCATATTCTCATGTATTTTCTTGGTATAAACGATAAATATTATGCCCAGTTACCCTTTTGGAATAAGTTTTTCTACCTTGAAAAGAGCTTTAAATAGTTGCTTCATATTTATGGACATCTGTTTACTATGGGGCCTTTACACAAGACCCTGTCTTTACAGAAAAGTAGAGTACGCCCGTATAAGAAACGTTAAGTCATCACTACCAGATGTGTTCCGCATAACACCAATATTTCTTTTACTTCCGACATCTGCTTGTTCTCCCTTGCTCCCTTGCTTTTGCAACTACCGGTTTCTTTGGACGATTTTTGCTACCGAAAAGTGTTTTTCCCAGCGTTTATTATTTCCACAGAACTGACAAACACGTTAGTCACTAACAATAACAATTGTCACTCGAATTTTGATAATAATTCTTTCAAATAAAAAACTTTTAATAAATAATTCATGTTATTTCGGCTTTTGTTCTCATTATATTAATTATATTTGATTATCTGCATTTTCACATACAATTCAGTTGTTCCACACCTCACTACTTCATTATATTGTAATAGTTTAATCTTTGTCGTTGAATTACGCCATTTGAAATTTAGCATGTGGTTAAGATGAATCCCGATCAGAGCACTTCTCGAGTAAAACACTTTCTATAACTAAAAATGTTAAAGAGTTTTAATCAAGTCGTCCTTCTAGTGGTAGTTAAACCTGGACATACCCTTTCCAGTCTTACATTGGTCTGATTCCAAATGGCAGGTACTGGCATATTTTTTGTAGGTTTCTCCATTGTATCCACATACAGGATCGTAAATTCTTGTACAAAACTTGGTGCAGTTCTCCGATTGCACAGAAACTACTCCAAGAAGGATTAGACCTTAAATTTTATTCGAATAATTTTATTAAAGCAAAATATACTTTCTGATATCAAAAAAGAAGCTTACCAGTAATTACTAAATATATTATTTTCATTGCTTAAGTAACAACGCGAAGTTCAACTCCGATCTAACAAAGGCTTCTAGAGACGGTCTTTTATTTGATTTACGTCGCGCATACACATTCAAATACGGGCAAACCTATGTACGTATTAATTCCACAGTGCTGTTCAAATATTTAACCATATGGCAACAAAATAAATTTTTCTCCACTCGATTAATGACAAATTATGTGTTCAGCTTAAATATTTCTGGGCTTGCGTTAACAAAATATTTAGTAATTTTGGGAGACCAAGCTTACGAAAAGACTTGACACTCCTTCAAATACTATAAAGCACGTTCCTAGGTGAAGCTTTATTTAAAGCACTCTATACGAACAACATATTGCAGCTTATACTTTTTCGGTGACCTTTGCCGAGCTTCTGGTGCCACCTGTACGTTCGTCTGTTTGATACTGGCTATTTTAGCCGTAGCCATGAACCCTCTGTTTAACCTCACATATTGCACATATTTTGTTTAAAACAACCCCCTTTCATATAATCAATATTGATTCCTGCAAATTTTTTCTCAACAACGAACAAAAATTACTTTGTTTGAACAGTTTTTTTTTTCATACTGGTATGAATTAATTCCGTGATATAAATTCTACAAATCAAGCTAAAAAATGTGTTAATAAACAAGTAAGGAAGGGCTAAGTTCGGATGTAACCGAACATTTTATACTCTCGCAAAGTCAAATAGTATACTCGTTTGAGATTTCTTTGCGGATTGACTGATATTTTCGGTAGAAGGTCAACTATAGGCACTGGGGTCCACATATTTAGTACTTAGGAGCTTGAACAGTTTTGGTTCGATTTAGACAACTTTTGGCCACAAGGTGGCATACTTTGATCGCATTATTCGCGCTTATCCCGATACAGTCATTGTTGCCTGATTTGCATAGTGGAAAGTGCAAAAATCAGATGGAATTTAAAATGGTGCTATATGGGAAGTAGGCGTGGTTGTAGTCCGATTTCGCCAATTTTCGCAATATAACATAACAATATGAAAAGAACGTTATGTAAGCAAATCCCAAGATATGGGTTTTCAGCGAAAAGTGGGCTGTGCCACGCCCACTGCCTAATTTTGAACGCGGTTCCTATAAAGTCATCTCATACCATCTCAGAGATAAAATTTAATGTCTCTGGCGTGTTTAGTGCTTGATTTATCGCGCTTTTAGTAGTTTTTAACAGTACCGTTATATGGGGAGTGGGCGGAGTTGCCACCCGATTTTAACTATTTTCACAAGGTCAATAGAAGTGCTAAAAACATTTGCTTCCAGGGAATTTTGTTATTATAGCATTAGCGGTTTTAGGAGATATGTACACGGACGGACGGACGGATGGACGGACGGACAGACAGTCACCCGGATTTCAACTCGTCTCTTCATCCTGATCATTTATATATATATAACCCTATATCTAACTCGATTAGTCAGGTGATACAAACAACCGTTAGGTGAACAAAACTATTATAGTCCAGTCATTATAGTAAGTTCACCTCGGAATTCAGATACCCAGCTGTGAGTCTGTAAATACTTGTATATTGACACCCTAAAAGTTGTCTCAAAACCTACATATGGGTGTACGCAACTATTAAATTTCAAGGTCAAAGGTCACAAAAATCGGTTTTTTGCGCTTTTTTTGTAAATATTTCATTTCCTATGGGTTTTTTGCTATTGGTATTTATTATCAATATTGTAGAAGAGAAAATTCTCTACAAATTTTGTTTAAACATTTTTTTCATACGGTGAACCGTTTTCGAGATAGAGGGCTTAGAGCGCGCGGTCACAGCATCACTTCGTGTCAACCGGTGCCTCCGATCAAAAACGCGCCATATATAGTTGATGAACTATCGATAAATCAGTGATTATAAATATTTGTCAATTTTTATTAACTATTATATTATATTTTATCATTTTTTCCTAACCTATCCACTTTTTATTCAGTATTCATTTATTTAACAACACTTACCTGCCCATGAAATTGCAGAATTGTTAATGAAAATATAGGAATTATATTTGCATTTAAACCTTATTAATATTAATAACTTCTTACATGATAAAAAAAAAATAAAAAAAAATTATTTAAAAATATCATTCAATATATTTATTTTTATTAAAAGTAAAAAAATGGAATAAAGGGTACAAAAACTACAATTTATAATTTTAATCATCTTCTTCCTCTTCATCGTCGTCTTCCGGCTGCTGGTAAATTTCAAACTGGTCTTCATTATCGTCTTCAACGACATTTGTTTTAAGTTCTTCCATGATTTCGGGGTCAAAAGTTCCATCTTCGTTAATGTCGCTCTGATATGGTAGAGCATTGAGACAAGCTTGCCCATTACATTGGCCACAAGCTAAAGAGCATTGCAAGCCCGCTTTCCTGCATCCGCATCGCGAACCACAATCACTCTTTCAGTTGCAGAAAATTGTATTTAGCAAATGTTCTGGAGCAGGTGGTAAAATTGTCATGATAGGCTCCAGAAAATCGTTTCGCATTGCCCAACCAAATACCTGGGGTTCCAAATCATGCCCTAACCAAGTTTGAACTTGATAATATACACGTTCGAAATGTTGATGAGCAGCTGCACTTGTTGGTGGAATATTTGAAAGCTGCACAGGTTTATTAAGTTTTGTAGACTTGACGTAATCACATATAACGAAGATGATCGAGACTTTTCACAGATTTCGGAGCATTATAGACTGCCAATAAGGTTTGAGTTCCACTCTCTAATAATCTCTGGGCCGAACAATTTTCTTCCTCAAATGCTGCAGCTAGTTCATCCAAATTGGTCAGTTTCTCAAAAACGTTTAAAAATGTTTTTTTTCCCTTTTTAAAAAGCGCAGAAGTTGTGTCACATCCACTTAATGCGTGCAGAAATAAAATATGTGTTTTGGAATAAGGTATATCTCCGTTTTTATATTGCCTTTCCCAACTTTTTTAAAGAAAATTTCTTGTTCGTAAGACAGTGTACGCCCAATTAAAATGATGAGTAAATCAATATATTGTCCTATTATTTACAAATTTACAGATTTTAAAGAAGATGCACTTAATTATTTTCTAATTAAGATGTCATTAGTGTTAATGGGAATATAATTATAGTAAGATTTAAGCTTTTCCCTTCATTATTTTTTAATTTTAGGAAACGGTGATCAGTATTATTGAATAAATAAAGATTTAAGGCATGAAGAAAATGATAAAATATAATATAATAGTTAATATAAGTTGACAAATATATATCATTGATTTATCGATAGTTCATCAACTATGAATGGCGCGTTTTTGATCGGAGGCACCGGTTGACATGAAGTGATGCTGTGACCGCGCGCTCTAAGCCCTCTATCTCGAAAACGGTTCACCGTATGAAAAAAATGTTTAAACAAAATGTGTAGAGAATTTTGTATTCTACAATATTGATAATAAATACCAATAGCAAAAAACCCATAGGAAATGAGATATTTACAAAAAAATCGCAAAAAACCGATTTTTGTGACCTTTGACCTTGAAATTTAATAGTTGCGTACACCCTACCATATGTAGGTTTTGAGACAACTTTTAGGGTGTCAATATACAAGTATTTACAGACTTACAGCTGGGTATCTGAATTCCGGGGTGAACTTACTATAATGACTGGACTATTATACTCTGTAGCAACAGGTTGCGAGAGTATAAAAAGCAATTTATAATTTTTTATATGGGCAGTAGGCGTTGTTGTTGTCGGATTTTCTCAAGATCTAACTTATAATTGCTCAGTGTCAGGCGCATGACATGAAGCTCTTACGTATATATAATTGCTACACTTCTCCTAAGAAAATTTGGTCCTACTGTTCTCTTTTTGTGAAGAAACTACTGATCAGTCTAAGAGGAATTAAACAAATTTATTTTACAACACAGGACAGACTTAGTCATCTGGCATCAAACGCAGCAGTACTGTAATCAATCCCCTACATAAAAAACACACAAAGGTTGCACTGGGTTCAGGAAGACAGCAACCATGATTGGAGCAATGTAATATTTTCAGATGTGTCAATCCCTTGAGACATGTTAGAATAAGAAAAGGAAATAAATTTATTTAAAGTAATGTTAAGGAGTTTGAGGTTTCAGAAAATCTGAGCGCCGATAAAATGATAATACTGTAAAAATGACCATGATTGTATACTGCAAGTAGACAATGATCCGAAACATAGGGGCTGACTCCATACTGAAAGGAAACGAGAAAATCATATTGTTAATTTAGATTGGCCATCACAGTCACCAGACGGCAATACAATAGAAAACGTTTGGGGTTTAATAAAAGTGAAAATATCAAGAAAAAAATTGACCGTCAACAGAAGATTTCATTTCCAACATACCGGGAGGTCACTTCCCGTGGAATATGCGGGAGATTGGAACCAGTACAGAATAAGCGTCAGCTATAAGAAAACAATGTAATATTTTTTATAATTACATGTTTTTTTTAAATAAACGCTACCTACACTTTGGAAACCGAAAATCTTATTTTTTCAACGCACTGTTCTTTGAAAACTCCACTTTTTGAATCGCTCCGTATCGACGGAAATTGTAACATCTTGCAACATTTTCATGATATTCAAATATTTTGTTATTTGCAACTGCAAATTGCTTTTCTAAAAATATTCCTGGTTGAGTGTTTTTATTTGACACTAACACCAAAGCTCGTGCCAGTGAATTACCGTTGTGTGGCTAAACAAGAATTCTACTTCCTGTCATTTGTCACAAGCAACTTGGAATGATTCCTTTCGGCAATACTTTTCCCGCCTACTACCTTCGTGACAAAATTTTTCCATTACTAGTCGACCCCAGCTAACAAACGCATTGTATCCACTCGTGAAGTTTCAACACGTTTTATTTATCCTATAATTTTGTTGCTCATACGCCAGCGCACACCATACCGTGGCCAACCGGCTGCCCACCTATAGAAATTTATGCAACACAGAACATATGAAAACGACAGCTACGCAGCAATACAAATGCCACGCACGCTTCTAAGCT